CAACAGCAGCAACAACATTTGAAAGCAAATAAACAAACAAATGAATTGCGTGAATTTGCATGAGAAACTACAGTTAACAATATAACAACCTAACAACGGCAGCAACAACTCAAGTGAAATGTGTACTTAACAACAACAACAACAAGTAAAAGGCAAATCTTTGGATTTTCGGTAGCTTTTAGCTCAGCAGCAACAACAGCAACAACAAGCAAAGCCCGCGGCAGCATCGTGAGCCGGCAATCTACTTGAGATTTCACGCTCTTTAAATAACAACAACAACAAGCTGACAAGAACCTGCAAGCAACAATTAAATAAACACACGCACACACACACATACACTACACAACAAAATTTCATTTTCACTTGCCGCATCAAATTAAATAACACATAAAAAGCCCTCGAAGGCAGCCAAAAAAATGTTATTTCACACACATAAGTCAGAGACAACACACGCACACACACACACACACACACATGCACACACATAATGGCAACTAATTTACTGTTCTCTTACACCATATACAGCCCACAGGTTAAGAGTGAGGTGGGCGGGGGCGTGACTTGTAAGCGTGGCGACTTTCACGTAATTAAATCAAATCTCAAATGAAAATGAAATGAAAATTATTTATTAATTGCGCGCCAGCTACACAGAAAATCACTTCAGTTGGGCGGTCGTGAGTTCGGTTGGGCGTGGCATGACCTACACAACTACTCTATATAAAATTTGCATTGAATCAACAGCTTTTGGGCTCAGAGCTTGATGGCGTTTCCCAAGCGCCACGCTTTCGCATCTGTGAGATACTTTTCGAGCGTAACCCTCAGATACTGTAGCCACAAGCTGGAGTCGCTGTCAGCTACACGCGTTTAACATTTGCTGCCGCTCATTAAAAGTAAATTTGTGAAGCTCGCATAAATCAATGGGACAACTTTGAAATGAAATGAAAAGAAAACCAAATGAAAATGGGAAAATTTCCAAATCAAAATACGTTTGGGACTAGTCAAAACTTGTCGCTTATTTTGTCAAATAGCGAATCAAAGCAGAGAGATTCAAGCAGAAAGAATCTTTAAATTGCGTCAATCGATAGTTACGATAGTTTCAGTCAACGTTAGTCTAAATGGGTGAAAGGACTATAGGCAAGTGCTAGTAGATCCAATCGATAGATAGGGGTCATTTTATCTATATTTTTTTTTAAAATGTCGATAGATGGAGTAGACAGTCTATAGCTTCGCTAGTATTGAACTATCGATAACATTAACCATCATGAAATACTCAATAAAGAGATACTAATTACTATATTTTCACCCAGAAGCATTCTGAAATATTATCGAATATCGATAACTTTGTCAGTCGAGCAAATTATGCAATTATCGATAACGCCGACATCTCCAATTTGACTTAGTTATAGATAGCTATAAAAAAGCAAAGAATATAGGCGATATCGATAACTTTTAATGCTTCGATAATATATATATTTTATACTTCAAAGCTATATTTACTTTCTATCGATAGTTAAGCTAACCAATGCAAATTCAGCTGTGTTAAGAGACAACTAAACTTGCTGCTAATTGTATTTAAATAAAATAAACTAAATTCGCAGTTCTTTATAGACAATCAATCAATGTCTGCCGTAGTTAAAGGGCTTTCGCTTTTGGTTATTTACTGGGATTACACATACGCCGTGTTGCACACAGTCAAAAATTAGCTGCCAATGTTTTTGGCAAACAGTTAGCGCTTAATTGACACTCCAGAGTCGATGCATTTGACAGCAAGAACTAAACAAACATTGACCAAAACTGGCAAAGGTTGCAGCGCAGCTGAACCCGACAGCAGAACTCACATTTATAGGCAGAAAAGGAAAATCAACAGCAACAGCAGCAACAGCAGCAAATGCGCTGCTGCAGCAAAGAAATCAGCGGAAATGTCACTTTCTTTTCAATCAAAACGCAATTCATGGCACTCGAAATGCATCAACGGCGAATGCTACAAAAGGTCGTGCCACTTCATGAGGCGAGACGCGCGCAACACTCGACGTGCGGCAGGAAAAACAAAAAAACAACAACAACACAACTATAAAACGGAAAGGTAGCCGAAGAGCGCTAGAAACACGATTTTCAAGTGTGTGTGTGTGTGTGAGAGTGTGTGTGTGTGGGTCAGGGGGAAGCGACAGGCTGAACTTTAACCCGTATGCCATGTCGAACGCTGCGCACCGAAAAACAAAAAAATTAAACTAAAAAGCGGACGCGAGGCGACGCTTTAATCTGCAATTCGTGGAAAATTCTTTAACTAAAGACTAGTTAGGCAGCAGCAGCAGCCCCCTGCCCCCGCCCCTGCCAGCCCACCTGTTGCTGCCTGCCCAGTTGCCAGTTGCTTGTCCAACAACATGGTAAATATTTAAAAATGTACTTAGCCAAAGTGAAAGAGACAGGCAGGCAGTCAGCCAACTAGACAGGCAACAAGCCAGAGATTCAGCCCTGCCACAATGCCCCGGCAACAATGCGCCGAGGCGACAGTTGCACATTTGGACAGATGCGACAAACAGCTGACTGCAGCGCGCGGACAGAGGGCAACAGCAAGACGCTCAAGACGCTCAAGACTCAATAATAATGCCAGCCAGTGTAAATCACAGCACAACTACGTAGAGAGAGGGGGGTAGAGGGGAGACAGGCAAGCAACTGCTCCGGGGCCTCAGTCGAAATGCAAATGATTGGCATGGGAAGCGCTATTTTCTGGGTGAAGTGCATGGGCACAACGAGAGCTAAAGAGGCGACTAAGCTAAAGAAGTTAAGTTCAATTATGTGCTAAGTAGCAAGGAGCCAACAACTACAACGACAACAACAACAACAACAACAATTGCAACAACAACAACAACAATTGCAACAACAACAACAACTACAAGTCGCAATTAGTAAGGAAAATTGCTAACAAACCGAGTGAGAGTTGAGCTTCAAGTTCGACTTTCAGCTCGGAGGATGACAATGACAGCCAACATGGCGTATGAGTCATGCGCTGAGCGTTTCCAGCTCGTTGTTTAACTCCAAACTCAAGAGACTTCTTTTATGCCAAAACACTTTAAGTTAAAGCCTAACACAAGATGCACTTAGTTCTAAAACAAAGCTTCCTAATCATTTTTCCAACGATGCTTCCTATAGAGCTATATAATATAGTAATGCGAATCTTAATAAGATTTGGATTATACTTTGATAAGCCAAAAAAGTTGTTCATGCAGGAACTTAAGAACTTATCCATCGATTCTTCCAATGTCAATTATATGCTATAGTGTTCCGATATTGATGTAATGTAATGATTGATATTGATTAATGATTAATGTAATGATTGATATTGATGTAATTTCGAAAATATGCAAGAAGTATAGGGAAATTAATAAATGACAGGCCTGGTACATGCTTGCTCCAGAATAAATATACTTCTACTATGCGGCACACATTGCGTGACAAAATTATAATACCCTCTACAAAGGTTTCAAAACAAGATGTTACCAGACTCAGTTTTTTCTTCTGTACAAATTACTCGAAAGTGGGCAAATTCTATTTGCCATTTTCACGCACCAAATAACATGTTGCCAGTGAGTTTGAAGCCAATTGAATGGAAAATTAATCATATTTTTTGTGGAATTTTTCAAATTCCTTTCTTAATGTGCATTTATATGCAAACAAAAGAAAAACGTGTAACAATTTCGGCGGGGAATTGTTAATCAATCAGCCAATCAAACAGTCAATCACTCAGTCAGAATCATAACTAATACATTTATAGATATCATTTGGACAAATAGCTGGCGACAAGCTTACCCTAACTTAAACTAGCCAATTTAAGCTGAAACTCGCATTACTTAACAGATTTCCTAGTACTTCGCGAATATGTGCTCATCAATCCGGAACAATCAATGCGAGACCTAGAAAAATCTACCCTACGCCAGCAATTAATTGAGCCCTCAATCATTTTAGACAATCTGTGCTACCAGGAATTCCTTGAACAAATGTTAACGCATTCCCGAACATAATGACTATTTAATTTGTGCGTGTTTTTCTGCCCCATCAAGCGGAAAGGGAAAACATTTGCCATGCACGTGGTCGGGCAGCATAAACTTTAACCATTCGACAAACAACTTTCAATTGAGTTGGGAAAATATATGCAAAAACAATATGCGAAAGTAGTTGGCATTTTTTTTTGAATAGTCAAACAAAAGTCACCAAGTGTAGGGAAAATGATGAAAAGCGAAGATGCCAACACATTTTAGAAAGTTTTCTACATAGAAATGTTAGCTAAGGGGAAATGGCTGGCATTTGTGGTAAGGAAGTGACGGGGCTTGAGTTCTAGCTTCTGAGCTCCGAGTTCTGCGCACAAATTGCCAAGTAAATGGCAAGTCGAGTGCGTTTGGCAGTTACCAAGGGCTGACACCCCGCTCCCCCCCCTTCGGCTCCATAGTCTAACCCCAGCTTGCAGTTGACTGCATCAATTTCTTAATAACTTTTAATTTTTTTTGTTTTTTCCACCCGTCTTGCCGGTGTGTTTCCGCTTGGCAGCAATTTGTGGCATTATGTGAGGGTCTCGTTTGCCATTAACCTGCTGTGGTGCGGCTATTTTGAATGCAGAGCCGAGTCGAGTCGAAGATTGGCATAGAATCTTGCACTTGGTTATTTTTTATTATGTTTAACCGTTTTCAATTTAAGCGCGAACCCTGTCTGTTGTTATTAAAAAACTGTTTGCGTCAATTTTGCAACAGCCAACAGGCAACTTGGTCTTAGCTCATGGCAAGTCAACGAGCTGCAAAACAAATAGCAAATATTTGCAGCTGACAAGCACAGTTGGTGACTGGCGTGTTGGCCATGGGCCATGGGCCAAGCCCACGCTCAAATCTCCAGCTAATCCCAATTGCATTTGCAGTTTAATTAGCAAACCTTTTGGCCACATCCATCTGGCAACATTTTGAAATTATATACTGTACAACTCAACGCCTTGTTTCTAACTATTCCATTTGCAGAAGACGGCGACAGCGAAACCAACCAAATATCATTATTATCCGCACAATCAACACATCTATCTGCTGCCCGAATGCGCCATACAGCAGGTCTGCAATGCGGTCTATGTGCGGCTCAACTATACCCAACCGCTCTGCGCCTGTCCATCAAGGTGAGCTGACAACAATCCCAAACCCAACCCAGGCCCAATTCAGTAAAGCCCCCCAAGCTAACTCAGCTGGTTGTCCCTGGTTGCGCCCAACTGTGCGTTGTCCAACTGGGCTCGCAATTCCGACTGCCAGAGCCGGCCAGAGCCGGGCAGAGTTCGGTAGACAGACAGCTGCTAAACACTAAAACCCAATCTGTCTTTTTGCAGATATCGTGATCCCTGCTCGGCCAGCCTCAACGAAGATGATCAGCACACCACCAAATTGGTCGGTGATAATAAGAAGAAGGTAAGTCTGCCATCTAATAGTGGGGGGACGTGCAAACCAAACCGACTACACTGAGCAAAAAAATGGTAGCTTGAAGCATTTCCTTAAATGCATTTCAAAAGCAATTGGATAAGTTGTTGTATTAAGTAGAAAATATCCGAAAAGCAAGTGCTCAAAAGCTAAAAGAGCATCTTAAATTCAAAAATAATAGTTAAGATTTCCCTTTATTAGGAAATAACTTGTTTATAGAGAAAGAATCTTAAAACCTTAAGGATTATGCCTAGGTAGAAATTCGTTAAGTAAGAATAACATTTATCAAGGAACATTTTTCAAGGAATGGACAACGTAATACATTTTATAAATTACATATAATATAATCAGAAGAATGAAAATTAATCTCTTAGAAAAACATCTCAAAGATATTTTCCAAAACCTTGTATAAAGTAGAAACAAAGTTTAGCTAGAGCATATTATAATATAACATAAGAAATGAAAATCAGGAAAACAGTCGGAAACTCAGAAGAACTTCTAGCTTAAGATACTTGACTCCCAAATTTCTCAAATATAGAAAGTTCATTTAGGTTAAATCAGCTCCCTAACCCAATTTAAGAAAATAGAAGTCTAAACAGAACAAATCACAAAAGCTAACCAAAACTGAGTCAAAGCTAATGAAAACTGAAAGTTCACCGCTGTTTTGCTCAGTGTATTGCAATTCGTATAAGTAATTGGTATCAATGATAGATCATGTGGCTGGGCACGACTGCCAGCTGATCAGCTGCAGTTGCTTTCATAGATTGCTGCTGCCTGCTTTCCTGAAAGGATCTGTGGGTTTTATTGTTAACAAGACTTTTCCCACAATCCGCCCGCTGCATGTGTGTGGCATTAATGTGGCAATTAGCGGTGCGGTGGGGCATAATTGAGTTACAAGTGCCACAATAAAATTTCACATAAATGAAATAATAATCAACATTATAATAGGGGGGGTCGACAGGTGTGTGTGTGTGTGTGTGTGTGTGTGGGCTGCGGCTGGCTAATTGTGCAGCCGAGTACCGTTAAATGCCACACTTGTTGTTGTTGTTGTTGTTGTTGCTGTGCTGCGGCATGTCTTGCCGGAACTGTACCAGAGCGCACAGGAAAATTATGAAAATGCGTTTAAGCTAGAAAAACTGGCACAGCAACTGGCAACTGGCAACTGCTGTGGGTAACTGGCAGGCCACATTAACCTGAATGGCAGCCAATTGGCAGCCAATGGAGCGGGCGAAAGGAAACGCCAGCCGCATGCAAACAGCGCCGCAAGTCAATCAAATTATTGACAGCAGCAACAACAACAACAACAACGGTAGCCCAAGTGCAACACGAAAAATCTGTTAAAAGGACAATCATGTCGGGCAAATTGAAAGGAGTTCAGCCACGGCATGGGATCAACTGCTGCCAATTGGCAAACAATTTTTGGGCAAGCTTAGCTAATGTGGCACCCCCCCCCCCCCCCCCCCCCCCCCTGGGCAACGCCCCAGGCTCAGCTCTCGCCTGTTGCATGTTAACTTTCAATTTGCCCCACGATCAGTTAGAAGTAGAGCGCGGCGGGCCACTTTCTTTGCCGTCCTGTGGCCAGACAGACGCCGCCAAGTGAATGCCTAATTGAGCTGCCCAGCTATTAGCCATGTCTAGACAGGCAAACGGTATTCATTACACTAATCACAAACTTCTTGGCTTACACCAACCGAACCAAACCAACAGGCAATTACGCTGGCCAAAACCTGCGAGGCAACAACTGAAATGCGCGAATGTCGCTCGCCCAAGGATTGGTCCCTGCTGGCGCTGCAAAATACACGCACCGGTAAATCGCACTATCTCGTCATCTGCCGCTGTCCCGATCACTTCAAGATGGGTGAGTACAACAAGTGAACGACTAAGTGATACCCTACATCCAGCAAAGAGCTGAAAAGTCGCATAAAATTTGTTTAAACAATCCTGGCAATCCTAATGAACCCTTCTCTACTACACAGAGGGACCCATGGCTCATGATCAGCCCACCTATGCGAGCGTGCCCGGAATTCGTGTATTCGGCATGATGTGCGTCAAGCCGGGCTACTCTGTGCGCAAGCCCAGCGTCCAGCCGCCCAAGCGCTATCAGCTGCAGAAGCCCTTCTATCGCCCGGGCAGCACACTTGGCGCCCAAAAGGACAGCTATGGCAGGCCCGTTTATGGCGGCTCATCGGGCAGCCAGGTGGGCAGCTCGGCCATAAGCGCCAACTATCACCCGCAGGATCAAACGTACCAGAACGGCGCCGGCGGCGGCGCCGGGAGCAGCTCGTATCAGTATCTGAATCGACCGGAGAGCTCGCATACGCACAGTTCGCCCAATTTCCGACCGGATCAGTTTACGCTCAACGGTTTTCCGGGCAGCAACTACGGACGAAACAATGAGAGACGCGGCGAGGCGCCGCCAATTGAGGCGGCCGCCGAGGAACGCGAACAGCTGCCCAGCAGCAGTACACAGGCCAGCGATGAGGCGGAGGCGCGCACCACGCTCCAAGCAGACGCCAATCTGGAGCGGAGCGAGCCGCCGACGGCGGAGCTAACAACGCCGCCGGAGGCGAGCCGTGCCAAGCGATCGCTGGACACGCTGGACGACTATGAGCCCGAGTTTCCCTGGGATCGTGTGCTGGAGTTTCAACAGACCATTGTCTGGGATTAGGCGGAACATAACGGAACCTTAGTAGTAAATTTTTCTAGCACAAAATTTTGGAGCGAGCCACGAATTTTTGGAATACTCTGCAAGCTACTGTGACTGAAGCAAATGGATCGCGATCTACTGATTGCCCGGCGATAGAACGGGTTCAACGACTACGCAAGAGACAAGGCGGTTTAACGTGACGTTACGTCACGTAACGTAACGCAACGGAACGGAACGGAACGTAACGCAACGTACATACAATTAGACACTAAGCACTTAAACATAAGCATTTGAAATGGCATTTTCCGATCGAGAGCTGATCGCCTCCGCCCCTTTAACCTTAATTTAACAAATACTCGTATTTTGTATTTATTTGAAAACAATTACGAATTAATTAAACAATTACGCGCCAACGCCCACGCCCACGCCCACACTAATTGTTTAATTAATTTGTTTTGCATATTGAACCCAAGCCCATGGCCTCAACGTTTTTCTAACATTTAACAATTATTTAATTTACAGTGAAGCAAATTATTTAAATTATAAACAAAACGAAAACTACATTTAGTTGCCTATTTATGTTAGACCTAAGCTGCATTTACTAGTAGTTAAATTAAACAACAACAAATTATCAATGTGAACTAAACGTTTCGCTAAACGATTTTGAAAGAATTTTTGCTCTGCTGCGAATACGAAATGCGTATGTAATAAATTATTTATACATTTTAGTTAAATAAATAATAAATACATTGCAATTCATAATGGACATGGGGCAATAGATTTGATGGGAAATAGTCTTTAAATTGAATAGAAAATGCTTTTGATTGCGGAACATAACGAGGCGCTGTTATTAACAGCTGTTCAATGTTGTTTAACATTGCCCTTATGACAACAGCTCTGCTGATTAAAATGGTCTAAGCACAAACTGTTACAGACTGTAAAATATGTCAATAGCAGCATTCAAGAGCTCGTTAATATTGTGCTTTAAGAAACCCACATATTTTTTTCTGTTGCGTACAGAATTTAAATATTAATCAAATAGTAAAATGTTTTTCATTCTTATCTGATAAGAAATCCCATCTAAAATATACTTGCAAGGGCATAACATAACTGGTAATAGGTATCACAGTGTCTAACATAAGCAAATATTTCCAGCAGTTAAACATAGTTATTAAATGTTTTAGAGAAACTGATAACTGCTTTTAACATTAGCCAATCACTGTTAATAGCAGCGTGTTACAGCTGAATAGCATAACATACAACAGTTAATAACATTACATACAAATCTAACATTATGTTGAAGAAAGCACAGTAATGTTAACCAAATGTTAAACGGTATTTCACATGTAAGAAAACCCATGTTTAACATTGAAATCAACTGTTATTAGCAGGAACAATATTAATAATAATACTCGAATTCTAGGAGTTTTCAAGGCATAGCTCAGAACAAGTAAATAGATATAATTGGACTCACCCAACATTTCTGCATTGACCACAATATTACAGCTGTACATGGGCGTAACCAAACGCTGTGGCTGATTCTGAAAAGCCTGCCGGCAAACCTCCTTGGCAGCCGTTAACACTTGACCTGTTAGGGTTAAGAGAATTATTAAGAAATATAATCTAGCATATAAGTCTTTGGACTCACCCGAAAAGGGTCCAAAGCCGCGCGCATTTAAATCCTCGCCCTCGGACTGCAGCGACCATTCGAGCACCGCAAAGCAAACGCCCTGCATGGGCTCCTCGCAGAGCGGACCCGCGCCCGACGTCAGCTGAAAGCCATTCACCAAGGAGCTATTGAAGTCTCTGCGCGCATCGCTGGTAACACGCACATCCGTGTCGGAGCTCTTGGACTGTGTGGACCAAAAGTCGGGCTGCTCGTAATCGCTGAGATTGAGCAGAATATTTGTGCCACAATTGCGTGGACCCAGCGCCCAAATGCGCTCCACCAGCTCAGCAGGCGTAAGGGAGCTCAAGCCATGCAGCTGCAGCTCTTCGAGCGCGGTAATCAGCTGACTCTTGATGGAAGCCAAAAGTGTTGAGAACTTCTCCGAGAGCAGAGTATTGCGCTGTGTGGCAGCCAGTTCCTAAAAAGGCAACAAAAATCAATTAACATGAACTACTCCAAAATTTCAGGCATACCTTGAAAACGTTGCTGTGCTGCTCCAGCAGCTGCACAGCGGTCGCGGGCAGCGGCAGGGCGATGACACGCAGCGTGCCCAGCTTGTTGAGCGTCTGCTGCGTGGCAATCTTTTTGGTCACATCCTTGTCATCGGCTGTTTTGACAATAGCTTCGTTGACCATGTCCACGGTGGCATCCGGCACAATGGTCTCTCTGAACGATACAATTGGTTTGGACACATTGACCTTGATCTTGGCATAGCTCTGCTCCAGATCGTGCACACACTTCTCCACATGCACCTCACCCAGGGTGGTTATCACATGCTCGCCCGTGGGCGCCACAGAGACCTGCACACAGGCATCCGCCTGATTGAGCAACTTGAGTCCTTTGACCAGCTTGGGCATATCCTGCGGTTGCACTGGCTCAATAGCCACGCGCAATATGGGCGTGGCCATGATGCTCAGCTCACTGAACGAGGTGCAGTCCAGGGTGCTGCTCAGTGTCGCCGTCTTGACAATGTGCTCCTCCAAGCCGCCAATGCCCACAATGTTGCCAGCGGGCACCTCATCCAGCAGCTGCAGCTCGCCGCCCATGAACATGTACAACTCGCCGACAGTTACCTGTGACGCATAGGGCGCCTGCTCCAGCACCCGATGTGTGGGCTGACGCGGATCATGCTTGGGCGTCAGATTATACAACTGCATGCCACGTCGCAGCGTGCCGCTAAAGACGCGCGCGAACGCAATAAACTCGAACTCGTTGCGCTCCTCCGCGGGCGCAGCCTCCTCTGCTACAACTGTTTCTGTGTTCAGCTGCTCGACACCCGCCGTGAGCTGATCCAGCGCCGACTGTTCGCTCTGCTGCTTGCGCTCCTCAATGCGACGACGCACTTCATCGCGTCGCTGCTGCAGCTGCTGATCTGTCAGACGCTTTGGGCGATTCTGTGGCAGATGCGACACATGCACGGGCGTCATTTTGGACACAAATGCGATTACATTTTCACTCTGCGCATTGCAGCTCCGAAAGCTCTCCTTGAGCGCCAGCGTTTCGGCTGGCAACGAGCTCAGCTCCATATTGGCCGGATAGAGCAGGCGCTGGGCGCGCTCCTCGCTGATGCGGTGCGGCGGCGGCACATGAAGCACCACCATCTGGAGCACGCTGCGATCAATGGGCAGCCACTGACCGAGCACCGTCTTGATTTGCAGCTTGGCATCTGTCAGGCGCAAATCACGCGCCGCCAGCTTAAGGCCCAGCTTTTCGGCTATCAGCGGCAGCTTGTCCTTGTCTTTGCGCACGGCAATAGTGTCGTACAGGCTCCAAATATTCTCCAGCACGAACTGCACAAACATCGGCTTCTTGGCCTTCTCCTGTGCTCCAGCCAGCGCACACTTTTTCTTGCTATTGTAGTAGAAGTCACCCCAGAGCGCTCGCTCCAGCTCGGCACGCGGCATTTCCAGGCGCTCCGCATAGGTGGTCGCAAAGTCGCCCACAGCAAATGCCCAGCCATCGTAAGCAGAGCAAAAGACCACATTACCAGCGGCTGGGGAGAAATACAGATCGGAATCATCGACGTTCTCCAGCGCCGACTCATAGTTGTTCTTGTCGCTCATGTCCTCCTTGGCCAACACATCCGAGGCAAATATGCTGCCCAGCACAGCGTTCACCTGCTCCAGCACTTGCGTGAGGTGAAAGTAAGCGTCCAGCGGCGTCATTTGTTTCTCCAGTATCAGGCGATCTAGCTTATTGAGCAGCAGCACGGGTTTCAACTGCTCCTCGTAGATTTGCTTGAGACAGGCGCGAGTTTGTGGGCCCACGCCCTCTACGACATCCACAACGACTATGGCGCCATCGCACAGACGCACCGCTGTGGAAACCTCACTGGAGAAGTCCACATGACCCGGTGAATCTATCAGATTTATCAGATAGTCCGCATTGCTGTAGTCCTGATAGTAGAGCGAAATGCAGCTGCTTTTCATGGTAATGCCGCGCTCCTGTTCATCCTGACGACTGTCCATGTAGCGCAGTTTGCCTGTTCAACAAAAACAAAATGAAAACATTTCACATGAACTGGAAATGCAAGCTTAACAACAACAAACCGGCCATGCGTTGTGAAATAATGCCATTGCTCGCCACGAGGGAATCCGCCAAAGTTGTCTTGCCGTGATCCACGTGCGCCAGTATACATATATTGCGCACCTGTTTCTGCTGCTTCTGAAGCAGCACGAGGTCTTTTGTGTCCACCACGGGCATTTTGTTGGATTTATTTACCTGTTGCCGAACTAACTTTTTAAAACAAATATGCCTTCAATCGCTTTTAGTATCGATAGCATCGATAGCCACAATGAGTAAATTGGCAGTGCTGTAAAAGCTCAATCAGCTGTTTTGCCAATTGGCAACGCTGGGCGCTTAAAAAGTTGAAATGCGTTGTGAAATTATGCCATTGCTCGCCACAGGGCAATCCGCCAAAGCCGCCTTGACGTGATCCACGTGCACCACATGTTCCTGCTGATTGTGAAGCAGCACAGGGTCTTTTGTGTCCACCACGGGCATTTTGTTGGATTCATTTACCTGTTGCCGAACTAACTTTTTGAAACAAATACACCTTTAATCGCTTTTACTATCGATAACATCGATAGCCACAATGAGTATATTGGCAGTGCTGTAAAAGCTCAACCAGCTGTTTTGCTAATTGACAACGCTGGGCGCCTAAAAAGTATTTAAACCGAAATTCAAATAAGATATTCGTTTGCCACACACGTTATATTTTAAGAACTGATATAATTTATCTGAAAATTTAAGAGCGAAATGTTTGCTTACCTGTGTCAAACAACTGATCTTGCAAAACATATTTCCCTTAAATATCGCTAATAAGAACGAGTACATTCTGGCATTTGGCATCGTTTGGCGCCAAAAAAAAGTACTTAAGCTAACTTTCAAAAATCATTCTTTTGATAGTTTCATTTAAGCATTCTATTTAAAAACTCAATTAAAACAAGTTACAAAAATGCATTTCGAATTTTGAATTGTCGGCTTAGTTATGTTTGCATAAGTATTACACGGTTCAGGCAGGCTGGTTGACGGTTTACTTGATGGCGCAATTGGCCAATTTGCTGGTCAGTTGCTCGCCCTCGGGCGTCAGCAGGAAATTGTCCTTCCAAACGGCAACACCTTCGGCATTGGTCTTGAAATCGACGGACAGTTTCTCCCACACCTTCTTCTTGGGATTTAGCTGCTCATCGGGCGTGCCGCTGTAGCCCTCAAAGGAAAGGCGGCTGCCGGGCGTGGCTGATGCAGGCAACACAATGGGCTCAACGACGGTGTGATCAGCGCTATAAAGAAAAATGAAGAGCATTTAAAGAGTCCGGGAGTTTACAAGCTGTTTAACTGAGCTCACTTGGAGGTGCACAGAACCATGCCCTCTGACAATATGCCACGCATTTTGCTCGGCTTCAGATTGCATAAAACCGCAACCAGACGCTGATCCAGCTCCTCGACAGTAACAAATTTGACCAGGCCGCTGATAATAGTGCGTGGCTGTGCCTCCGCCAGATCAATTTTCAAAACATAAAGTGTATCCGCATCCGGATGACGCGCCACCTCAATGACCTTGCCCACGCGTATGTCCAGACGATGCGGCGCATCCTCGTCAGCGGCGCCGGCAGCGGGCGCAGCATTGGCTTTCACCTTGGCAGGTGGCGGATAAGCGGCGGCAGTTAGTTTTCTAAATATGAAATGGATAAGATGTAGTTAACTGAACTGGAGCCCAAATCTTGAAGGCTTACTGCAACTCGGGCTGCTCAAAAGTCTTGCGTATGGGATCCAGCAAACGATTTATGTATTTCTCCACCGAGGCCTTCAGATCGCCCGGATGCAGCTTGTTCTCGGCATAGTATTGTTCCAGCTCTGCGTACTGGTAGAAGGTAACATCGCCACCGTTATCAGCAGCACGATAGATCTCAAAGCCCTCGCCCTCTTTGAAGAGCGAGAAGAGCACATGCTTAACGAAGGAGAGCAAACCGTTGTCGGCAATGTTGCCGGGCTCGCAGAAGGCCTTCTTCAGCTTCTTCTTGACATTGGCGGGCGAGTCGAGCAGATCAATTTTGGAGTCCTCCTCCGATGAGGACATCTTGCCGCCAGCCAGGCCAGGTACTGCAAAAAAAAGGGTTTTTCCAGATTTGTCATTTTATGACTCATGCTCTGACTCACCCATGGGATTCATGAAATGTATGCGCTTCTCGTAGCCCAGCTGCGGCAAATACTTCTCGGAGAAGGTGAAAATCTTGCGCTGATCAACGCCACCAAACTGTGCGTCCACCTTTAAGTACTCTTCATCCAAGCCCTGCAGGCCTGGATACAGTAGGCAGGAGAGTAGCGGATGTTCCACCTGTTTTACGACCTCGGCGCCGGCTTTTTTCGCATCGTGTATGGTGACCAGCGAGCTGAGCTTGTACACGTCCAGCGTGTACTCCCTGGACAGCTGATAGTCGCTGCCCTTGACGAACTTCAGCTTGTCCAGCGGCACGCCAATCGAGCTGAGCATCGCTTTGATCACCTGCTCATAGTACTTGGTGCGCAGCTCCAGCAGCGGCCAGGGCGCCTTCATGTTGTCCAAGTAGGCGTGCAGATCGGCAAACAGAATCGTTACCTCGCAGCCGGCCTTCAAGAAGTCGGCTATCTTGGACATGGGCACAAAGTAGGCGACATGTGGCTTGCCCGTTGTGGCTGTGCCCCAGTAGATTTTCAGATCGCGCTCCTGCAGTACTTTATTCAATTTATCCTCGCCCAGGGTTTCCTGCAGGTTGCGTGTAATCAGCTGTTTTTTCGCCTCGGCGCTTAAAGTTGTTCCAACCATTTTATTTATTTATTTAATTTGCTTTTTGTTGCACGCTATGCGAAATCGTTGCCGAAAAGAAGAAGAGAACTGCATGCGTGGTAGCTGTGCAAGATGTGGCAACGCTGTCAGCTGTTAAGCCGCGCAACTTAAAGCAACGGTAAACAAACCAAAGCTGCAATTTGTACTCGATTCTTCTAACATACAAATAAATGCTAGCAATAATTATTAAAAGAAGGGTAGCATAGAGATGAGCTCGTGTCCGAATTTTGCAAGTACTGCGTTAGTTGTCCCGCATGTTTTACAATGCGGTTGTTCATATGCAACACGACGCGCTCCACTTTTTGCACACGACACGCGCTCATCTCTACCAGCTCAAGGCTTTCTATGCCACATCTGGCAGCACTATCAGCTGCTAAACACCGTTAACTTGGTAAACGTAAACAAACTTTTGTTACGCTCGATTCCTTTAACGAAAAATGTTAATGATGCAACGAGCCAGAATGCTGAGGCAGTGCCTCCGCGCCAGCCACAGACTCTGCCACAGCGATGTGCGCGTACGTTTCGCGCCCAGCCCCACCGGCGACTTACATCTGGGCGGCCTGCGCACGGCGCTCTACAATTATCTATATGCGCGGCATGCCGGCGGCAAGTTTCTGCTGCGCATCGAGGACACGGATCAGACTAGGTTGGTGCCGGGCGCCACGGAGCGTCTGATCGAAGATCTGCTCTGGGCTGGCATTGAGATAGACGAGGGCCCGGGCTTTGCCGGGGACCACGGGCCATACATCCAGAGCCAGCGCACCCAACTGTACAGGTGAGCTGCACGTATTTGATATATCCACAATGATCTCTAAACCCAGCTTCCACGCAACAGCGAAGCCGTCGATCGCCTGCTGGAGAACGGCAGCGCCTATCGCTGCTTTTGCACGGAGCGTCGTCTGGAACTCCTGCGCAAGGAAGCTCTCCGCACCCGTCAAGTGCCGCGCTACGACAACAAGTGCCGCAATCTGCCGCCGGAGCAGCTGGAAGCGCAGCTGGCCAGGGGCACGCCGTACTGCATACGCTTCAAGCTGACGGAGCACGAGGAGCCGCTGCAGGATCTCATTTATGGCAGCGTGCAGCACAATGTCAGCGCCACGGAAGGTGATCCGGTTATCATGAAAAGCGATCTATTTCCCACCTATCATTTGGCCAACGTTGTGGACGATCACCAAATGGGCATAACCCATGTGCTGCGCGGCGTCGAATGGCAAATCTCGACCACCAAACATCTGCTGCTCTACAAGTGGGTAAATCATGAAGGATTCCTTCTGCTTCATGGACTAAATTTGGTTTTGTTCTCCTACCCCACAGAGCCTTTGGCTGGCAGCCACCACAATTTGGTCACCTGCCGCTGCTGGTCAACGCCGATGGCACCAAGCTGAGCAAGCGTCAAGGAGATATCGGCATAAAGCAGTTCCGGGAACGCGGCTACTTTCCCACGGCCCTGCTCAACTACATTGTGTCCGCCGGCGGCGGCTTCGAGCACAGACCCAATGCCAAGCCGCAGCTGTACTCCATACCCCAACTGGCCGCAGAGTTTTGCTTGGAGCGCGTGAATGCGCATCCCAGTCGTCTGAATGCGGAGCTGCTTAATGACTACAATCAGCTGGAGATTAAGGCGCGCCTGGCCGATCCGCAAAGCCGACTGCAGCTGGTGGAGCACGTGCAGCAGCTGGTCAGGCAGGCCTATCCCACGCAGTAAGCTCTCAATGGAATCCCAATGGTATCCCTTTTGCTAACACTTCCGATGCACAGCTCCAATCTGGACCTCGTCGAGTCGCATATTGTGGAGGTGCTTCACTGGGCGTCGCAGCGTCTGACCCTGCTGCAGGATCTCACCAGCGGCAAGCTGAGTTTTCTCTGGGTCAAGCCGAGCAATTTTGTGCTCAAGGATTTAAGTGCAGCACAGCTGGAGCAGCTGCTGCAGCAATTGGACGCCACGCCCGAATACCACAAGGATCAGCTAAATACGCTGCTCAAAAGCTATGCCCAAGCAGCCGGACTCAAGTTTCCGGCGCTGATGAAAACGTTGCGCGGCGCCTTGAGCGGCCTGCAGGAGGGACCCGGCGTGGCGGAAATGATGGAAATACTGGGCAAGAGCGTGGTGCTGCAGCGTCTGCGGGAGAGCATTGATAAACAGACGCAACAGCTGCAGCAGCAAGAACTCTAAATTTTATTCGGAGTAAGCACTTGACACCAGATTGTGTATATATATATATAGTTATTTATCTTTGTTATATTTTGAGAGTACGATTATTGAGTAAATATAATCATGGCAAACATTCGCTTAAGCACCGCTCCATTGTCCAGGCTGCATAATAGACCACGCCTACATTTATAATTTATATACGTATACATAGAATATGTTAGTTTTAATACTGCTGGCCAGCTTAGCTAAAGTCGCGATTGGATAGCACAATGGGCGCAATCAGGCTCCAGCCGTAGATGAATACGCCCAGCCAGCTGGATATGATTTTGACCCACATGGAAGCCTCGTTGCCATTGATCAGCTCTATGTCCGAGTTGGGCTTATACCAATTGGTCAGCGTCATCATCACGTAGAGGGAAGCTGATTGGACATAAATATATTAATATTAATCTAAATCATTTAAGTGGACGCAATTTGTGCTCACCGCAAACGAGGACGGTGTGGAATGCGGTCCAGCTGTAGGTGACGCCCTCGGTCTCGTTGTCGGTGGCGGGCTTCTCGCCGCCGTTGCCCGTCTCTGTGTCTGATAGAGCTTCTGTTAAAACTATATTAGTCAAAGGTGTCGGCAAATTGTACACAGTTTCGTTACCAAACCAATTAGTGGAAGTTTATAAAAACAAACGTGTTTAAATCAATCAATAAAAATAAAATAAAGAGAAAATTGTTAGTTAATTAGTTAGCCAGAATATGTACAGCGAAAATGAAAAGCGAGCATGGAGCATTACGAGAGGTTCTGTATGGAACTATGAAACTGTGCAATGTGCGTGACAAGACAAGAGAGAAGACTTCGCTTCGAAATGCCGAAGACTAAATACCCTTGCAGACATTGTGTTGTAAGTAAATGTATACATAAATTATTTAGCTATCGATTGATATAAAAATCCCTCTAAAATACATTATTTGATAATATAAACATAGCTTCTAGGAGAGTCGAACTCACAAAGGGCATTCAGCTAGATGGTTGAACGATACGATTTTGTTAAAAGCTTGAGATCATACTGAACGATATCTTGATAAACTATGGTAGCTATATGCTATAGGGTTCCGATCAGACTTGGACATATACATAACAGACCGCAGCATAAATTTGTATCTAAGAGATACATTTACATATAAACAGACAAACGGACGAATTCGACTATTAATACTGTTCAGGAGTACATGCTCCTCAGAGAAGTATCCTCCACACATTTCATATGGCAACCACTGCAAGGGTATGCGAAGAAGCAGCTGTTGGCACGTACCACGCTTCTCGCTGTTGTCATTGTTAATCTTGGAGACCTCGACGGCGGAGCTGAAGCAGTTGTAGAGGATGCACAGCAGCCAGACAACCAGGCCAATAATGTTGGTCGTATCGAAGGTGACTTTCGAGTTGGGTGTGGGCGGTGCAACGGTTGTGGTGGTGGCATTGGGCAAGCCCTCCATGAGTCCAAACATGCCCGGATTGCAGGCCTTTTCTGCAAGCGAGAGAGAGACGAGAGGGCATAAAACGAATAAATTGTGATTTGCTACATCGAAGACCAACCCGGATTGTTGGCCACAGCGGACCAGGTCAAGTAAATGGTGTACAAAGTCACCAGCGAGCTCTGCAGCAGTCCCGAGTGGGGCAAGCGTTCCTGCACCGCGGGCAGCACAGACAAAATGCTGATAACCAGGCAGAATATCAGATTAATCGAGATGAAGAACTTGTTGATGCCGCAGCCCGTCGACTGCAAATCAAGGAAAGCGTATTGTATGACAGATGTATATAAATATAAAAAGGAATACAGACTGTGGTAAAGTAGATGTAGAGTAGAGTTATGCCCGTCAGGGAGGCTATGTAGGCCAGAAGAGTCACGCCAGCCAAGGCATAATAATAGCCGCGATTGTTCTCCGCATTCTCTGCAAATGGACAGAGTTCGAATTAGTCATCATTTCAGCTCGGAAACATACCAATCCAGTTCTCGGCGACGCTGTGCGCAAAGTCCACAATGATGATCAGCTGGACGAGTATGAACGCCAGCCCGCCAACTAGGCCCACCCACATCATGGCCGGTCCAAAGGAGCCATCCGGTATGAAGATGGCCGCAATGGAGGCGCCAAAGCATATCAAAAACTTCAGAGGCCAAAACTCATTCTGGATATGGGAGCGCGGATCTCGAGAGCTCTTCACGCCCAGCATTATGACCGCCATCAGGGTAAAGAAACAGGCCAGACCAAAGCAGAGGCGATAGACGGCCATGTAGCCAAGGGCATATTCACAGTCCACCTGCAGTGTGCCGCCCGAGAATGTGCCTATTGCCGTGGAGCTAATTGTCGAAGTGGAGTTCACACAGAACGGCAGCTTCTTCAGCGTGCCCTGCAGGCCGGGCGAGAGTGCGATGGCGCCCAGAACTGTGCCCACCAGCAGCATGAAGGCGTACATGAAACGGGACGAGGAGGAGTTCTTGCAGGTGGGGCAGGCCGAGCAGCACATGCTGGCCGCGGTGCCCGTGCAGCAGAGCGCACACTGAAAACAGAAATAATCAAATTAGCCCGTTTTTGGCGGTTTCTGAAGCAAATCTAGCCAAATCTAGCGGGAAAGCCTTGTTGTCGCGGCAAAACTGACAGCACTGAAAATCGACGTTGCTGCAGTTATATATTAAATTAGCTAATTTTAATGTTTTATTTTTAGCCACGACTCAGTCAAAGCTGCCAAATGTAGCTGCTTAGTTTATATTTAATTCATAGCGGTTTATTTTTAGCCTTTATTTTGCCAAAGTTGCCAACACTGAGAATCGATTTTGCTGCAGTTTGTACCATATGCGCAATTTGCTTTTACAAGATATGCAGACAGGTAATTTGTTTGTTAACACACACCTGCGCTACCGAACAGAGGCCCAATGCAGCGCCCATCGTTTAAAGGTTCAATAAACTTGCGTTAATCACTGTTTTAATTAATTTAAGTCGAAAACTGTCGCACTTGACGCGCTTTGTTTGTGAAAATGACGAGTGAGTGTTGAAAAGTGAGCTGCAGCACATATTGTGTGTGGAGCTATGCTGTTAATAACAGCAACGGTTGGTTACCAGCGATAAGTCGATAAGTTTGTTAGTGCAACGCTGCCAGAATGTTACCATGGCTGGAAAATATTGAAATGGAAATTTACCGTTCAGTTTTGTTTTGTGAGCGGTTGCGTCTGGTTGGTGCGGTACCTTTTAACTGTGCGCAAATTGTGTGGTGCATTTTTTAAAAAAACTGTCTGTAGTGGTGGTGACTCTGCGACTGCGACTCGACTGTGACTTCGTCTCTCTCTCTCTGTCTTTCTGTGTGTGTGCTCGTGCCCCGTATCCGTGTATGTGTGTGAGTGCGTGCATTTGAACAAGGAAAAGTGTGAAGATTTTGAAAGAAAGCGCAACTTCAAATCGAAGAAAAATTAAATAAAAAGCAAAAAAAGATAGAAAGAAAGAAAAAAATGGCAACCGAAGTAGCTCAAATACCCGCTGAGGAAACGCCAGCAGTTGCCGCCGCAGCAGCAGCGACCACAGAAAATGCTGCTGCCGAGCAGGCGGAAAAACCTGCTGCCGAGCCTGTCGCCGTTGCCGCTGCCGTTGCTGAGAACGCTGCCGCTAACAACGCCCAAGACAACAACAAAGAGGATGCGAAGGCGTCGCCAGCCGCTGCCGCTGCCGATGGAGCTGCCGCTGCCGATGCGAAGAAAGATGGTGGCGATGTTGCCGCTGCGCCAGCCAAATCAGAAGCCCCAGCACAAAAGTTCAATGTGCACAAGACCAATTTTGAGAAGGACATTATCTATCTGTATCAGTTTTCGCGTACTCCCCTGCTGCCGTCTCTCTCACCTTATTGCCTGAAAGTGGAGACTTGGCTGCGTCTGGTGGCGCTCAAGTACGAGGTAAATTTTCCGATTTCCCATATTTCCAGCATCATGTTCTCTATCTATCTATCTGTTTTGCTGAATGTGAAACATATTTTAAAATTTTTACATGATTTTCCCATTTCCCTGGCGGGTTTTTCATCATCAAATTTTTTTTCCCCTAGCATACATGCATACATATGTATTTTTGCGGTAGAGATTTTTTCCACACACACACATACATACACAGGCACACGCACACCCATACATAAAAACCGCCATGATTGTGTGCTAAGCCTGTGACCTGCCCGCGCACCGCACCCTATAGGCCTGCATGCGCTGAAAAGGGATACATTTAGCATTGCCTTTTCTTTCTATCCCGGCACACACACACGGCACACAGGCAGACTTCCAATGCGTGGATGTATGGGTGTGTGTACTCGTATTTGAACCTGTAGCGAGCCAGGCAAGGCGTTTTGTTGTTGCTGCTGCTGCTGCTGCTGGATTTTATTCCTGTCTGTTCATGTGTATATATGTGTGCGTGTGTGTGCGTCTACATGAAACAGCGTATACATAAAATTTGTGTGTGCGCCGACGCCGCAGCGCTGCGCTGTGCCTGGCTGGCCTGGCCTGGCCTCTGCCTAGCTGCTGTTTCGTTGTCAACGTCTCGCCGCCGCTCTCTCACATAAGTTGTGCTTTATACTCCACACCGACACACACACACACACACACACACACACACACACACACACACACGAACAGAACTCCCTCACCCTTCCCCAATGCGAAGTTGTGCTTCAAATTTTGCACTTGGCACTGGCGCTCTCTCTCTCTCTCTCTCCCTCTCTCCGATTTATGCGCTCGCTCTCAGCAGCTCCCATTTAATACTCTGGTCTTTGTCTTTGTTGCTGCAGCTGCAGCGAGCTCTGCTTCATTTAGTTTTTTCAGTCTCTGTCTTTGCCTTGCACAAAAATTCCAAGCCCCGTTTGTGCCCGTTTTGTAATTGCTTTTAATAAAAAAAAAAAATTGTTGCTGCTGCGCTAAACCCCACTACCCTACCTCGCTGCAATCCACTCTTATTACTGCGCCTTATCTTTAAGCAGCCCAGCTAGACAAATAACCGTCTCCACTGTCCGACTGTCCGGCGTTCATTTTGCCCCACTGTCCATTAACAGAGCTCGCGACGCTCCAAAAGTTTTAAAGCTTTAGGCGCGCGCGCGATGCGTTTTGCATATATTTTCCTTCATATTTTATAGACTTACAAAAATGGGTGCGGCCCCAGGCGGCGGCAGCGACGACGACGACGACGACGCAATTGTTGTTTTCTTTAATCTTATTAATTACATGGCCTAATGAGTGCGCGGGGGCGCGAGAGAGAGGGGCTACCCTGAGTGAGTGTGAGCTGTAAGAATGTTAATTGATGCTCTCAAGTAGTTGGGCGCGCGAGATGAAATTCCCTTCCTAAGCTGATAATGCGCCAGCAGCTTTTGCCATATGCTGGCGCGCTGCCTCAGCCGCTGCCTCTGCTGCGGCTCATTGAATTGATTTATCGTCGTTTGGCTGCAATGGGAAAGTAACGGCAGCAGCTGCTGCTGCTGCTGCAGCCGGCAGCCGCAAGCAATTATGATTGACAGTACGTCAGTTATAAATTTGTGTGCATGTGTGCGAGAGTGCGTGTGTGTGTGCGTGCAATATGTACGCAATGCACACAACGACGACGCAGTCGCAGCGCACTTTCCATTTTGTTCCGCTTTATGATAAGAGCTTTGGGCGGCGAGTTCAACAAACTGAATGCAACGAAATGGACCTTTGACATTTTCATTAATCACAATGCCAACAATTCAGAAGGGGCTGATATCGCCCCCCCCCCCCCCCCCCCCCTTCGCCTCTCACTGTCGTACCCCCATTATGGCCGCGCTGAGTGTTGTTGTTATTGTAAACGCATTGCTGCATTTTGTATACATTGAAAAGGCAGGCGCACATTTTGCCTTGCCCAAAAATAAACAAATGCGGCAGGCAGCAGCAGGAGACGGGTGATAAACCAAACGCATATTTTTTCACACCACAAGCGTGTATCGAGCGTGTCGAAATCATTAACAACGCCAGCCAGCAGCTACAACAACAACAACAACAACAACAAGCTTCTGCTTAGGCGCGGCTGCTGCTGCTGCTGCTTATTGCCGCCCGCATAGTTGGCATTCCAATGTGACTGCCATTCGTAAGTATTTATGCATGTATATTGTGCAATTAATTCACTTTTTCAATATGCATTACAAATAAAACCAAACAGCGTCGCCTGGGCAGTTGTTGTGCGTGCATAAATTTCCATTTTCAATTCATTTGTGGAAATTGCGGCGCAAAAGCCGCAACGCCGTACACACACACAGGCGCACACACATCCGTTTTTTACAATTCACAATTATTCAAATGTTCGCGCGCCGTGCCATATTGCCAGCACAAAGTGTTGACGCGTCAGCACGGTCTGGCAACCCTGTATGAGTACAACTGTACGTGTGAGCGCTGCAAAGTCAACGGCGGCAGCAGCACTAGTATGTGTGTGTGTGTGTGAGGGGAAGTGAAGTTTTGCATTTTTTTTTTGCTTTATTTCTTTTTGAAAATGCCAACGACAAATGCAGTCAAACGTTACTCGTTGTTTTTGTTGTTTTTTTATATTTTAATTAATAGCCGCATATTTGCCTCAAAACAAAGACTGCGCATACATATGCAATAACTGCAACGGTTGCGGCGACAGTCACTGCCTTTGTTGTTGCTCATTCGCTCGCTCGCGCTCTCTGCTAAAACTCCGCTCTTTGTACTTAAGGCAGGGTGTGGATTTCCAAGTCACACACACACACAAACACATACACATGCACGCACACGCAAGCGCTGCATAATTGCATGGCGTGTTGGTTGTTGTTGTTGTTGTTCGCCTGTTCTTGTTCTTGTTCATTTTTGTCGTGTCTTTAGCATGCATCCAATTGTTGCTAATGCAAAACTCTACACACTGCGCCAAAATTGAGCCCCGTCTCCGCTTAATTGGCATAATGATTTAATAAAAAATAAACATTTGCATTGTGTAGCGACAATGCGTCGCCGGCAAAAGCTGCCGCTGCCTCTGTCGCTGTCGCTGCCTTTGCCTCTGCTGCTGCGGTGCGGCGGTGGCGACAGTTATGCGTTGGAGGCAGCTTCTTCCATTTTCGAGGCAGCCTTTTTGTGGATCATTGGAATTAAATGTGACGATGACGACTCCACCCTTTTCAGCCTGGGCAGCGACGATGCTGCTGCTGCGGCTGGAAAACATAATCTCTTTTTGCTTACTCGCCCTCTGACGCTCTCTCTTTGTCTCTCTATCTCTATCTCTCTCTCTCTCGTTTGCTGTATGCGAGTGTGTGCGAGTTTGCAACCACACCCTGCCTGTTTGCCCTGTTTGTTGCCCTCCGCGCCAAAGCATGAAATATGCTACGCCCCGATATGACTGTCCGCTTTTGTTGTGGACAATTTCTAATTAGAAATTATGTGCACACACACACATGCTAGCTCAAAATGTGCCGGACATAACTGTCACTTTTTTTGTAACGGTTAACGGCGCATGCATATTGTACGTGTACACACTGGAAGTCGGCGGCGGCGGCGTCAAGCAGTTTTGACACTGGAATATGCCAAATTCAAAAAGCGGCAATTGGAAATTTTCCAACTCCTCGACTCGTGTGCGTTCGTGTGTGTAATTTTACAAGCAGCATGCTCTGTGTGTATGTGTGTGAGTGCGCACACAGTGGGGGTAGTTGGGTGTTGGTTGATTTTTCGGTACAGCTTTTTCTAGTGGTTGTTTCGGCTGGCAGCATCTCGCTTTTGGCATACATATATAAGTGTGCAAGTATGCGTGCGTATATACATACATACATATACATATATGCGATTGTATGTATACAGGCCTATATATGTCATGAGCGCCATCTAGCGGCCGGAACATCCAAACAGGCCGTGCCGGGTCGCGTGGGAGACAGAGATTGAACTACATTACAAGCACATTAGTCATGCACGCACACATACTCACGCACACATTCATGAATCGGAATGCGCGATATGGAAAAAGTTATTGAGAATAAAAATATCAACAGAAACCGCCTGCGCCCACACCCCT